GCTCAGTCCACTGAGCCACACTGGCCAGGCGGTATGGGTATAATTTTACTTAGTTGATTTGAGATTTTATGTTTCTTGGATCTGAAAACTTACATCTTTTATCAGTTCTAAAATTTATTTAGCTATTAACTCATCATGTATCACTTTTTCTATTCTCTCTATATAACTTCTTTTAGAAATTCAATTAAATGTAGTTTCAGCCTTATTCTATTTTTTATTCCTCTTTTATGTTTTTCATCTTTATCTGTCTTTGCTGCGTTCTATGTAATTTCTTTTAGATCTTTCAGTTCACTAATTCTCACCTTGCCTGTGTCTAACCTGCTATTTAACTTACTCATTAAGTTTCAATTTATTTTTTTACAGCTTTGTTGAGGTATTCTTTACATAAAATAAACTGCACATAGTTAAAGTGTACAATTTGATAAGTTTTGGCATATGCACATTTGTATCCATGAAATCATCACCACAATCAGAATATTGAGCACCTGTGTCCCCCTACCACCAGCAAGTTTTCTCTTACATTTTTATAGTCCTCCTCTCCTGCCTCTTCTGCCCACCCCCCCAATTCCCTGGCAACCAGTGATGTGCTTTCTTCTGTCATTATAGATTAGTTTGTGTTTTCTTGAATTTTATGCAGTAAAATCAACTCTTTAGACCACTTTAAACAAAATTCTCAGGTTGGTATATCTTGTATGACAATAGGAAGTGTGGATGAGGGCCTCAGAGGTGTGACGGCTGACTTTATAGTTGAGAATCCTCAGGGGACAGCATCCTAATCTTTATCTTTGCAGGGTGCATTTTCTAATTAATTCACCTTTTCACCACAAGTGTAGCCAGTGTGGTCCTGGCTTTATCTGAGGGTCTCTAAACAACTTTGTCACCTTATAAAGGCCTTGGTGTTATCCTCTGTCCCCCATAAGCCATTAAAACTAAAGCTCTGTATCCCTGGGGACAGCAGATGCTCTGAGGTGACTGCTACTGTCAGTACCCCTTCAACAGTCAAGGTTTGTGGTCCTGTCTTGCCATTGGCCACTGACAATGACATTTACCTTCTTGAAAGCTCAGTCATTTATATTATAATAACAACTTTATTGAGATATATTCTCATATCATAAAATAAACCACTTTGACGTACAATTCAGTGGTTTTAGTACAGTCACAGAGTTGTGCAACCAAGTTCAATGATATTAGAAAAAATTTTAGAAATATTTAAGTGTTTTCATAGTAGGGGGAATATTTTAAAAGACATTTTGTCTACTTTAATATATTTTTCAAGCTTAGGAGGAACACCTAAGACTTATGTTGTGTTCTCCCCATAGTAGTTTTTATATATAACCCACTCTAGTCCTAAGAAGCTGTATCACAATCTCCTGGGGCTTTGTTTAAAAATTTGTGTCCTCTGGTCTCACCTCGAACCTGCAGAATTAGAATTGCTCTCTGGGTGTGAGGTTGCAGGAGAAGGCCAATCGATGTTCTCTCTCAGCAATATTTCTCTCCCCCTCCCTCTCCCTTCCTCCCTCTCTAAAATCAATAAAGAAAAAATGAATCTGAAGTTTTAAAGCCCCTCAGATAATTCAAATCCTCAACCAAGTTTATGAATCATTATACCCTTATATTTGGAGTAGCTATTTGGTCCTCAATATGTATGTCCTTAAATCTTCAGGATTATTGTTTTCTTCCAACAAGAAGGGCATTTATATACTAGTTTACGTGTCATTTTCTGGGTATTCTACATTATCTGTACAGCTTTAAGTTTTGTTAAATGAAGTATTTCTCAGATCCATTTTCCGTGTAGTCTTTGTTATGCATATTCCTAGGGAGCTGAGTGATGGGCAAGAAAGCATCTTCTTTAGCACATCCCTTTGAACAAAAACCTGGGCATCTGCTGGCCCCTCAGTGACACATGAAGTGTGATTTTCGACTGCTGAAGCCCCCAGTCCAGAAGCCTGTGGCGCCGGCCCTCTGCAGCCGCAGCTGCCCCAGCTTTCCTGGCCATTCCTGCTCCGTGCAGTTTTCCACCTCATTCATCACGCCAACGCTATAATATGAGGTGATTGGTCACATATTATATTTAGCAGCAAACCTTTCTCTGACTTGCAATTTGCAAATGTTACTCATCAGATGCTGGGCCTGCAGCTGTTGCCCTTTTTGAGGCCCCAGCTAATTTCACTTGGCTAAAGGTGTCTTGATGTGAAGGATTAGAGTGGAATCTTGATTTACCACACGAGAGAAGCCAACCTAATCCAATGTTTAGTTCTATATTGTGCGCTATGAAATCCATGAGGAAATGGAGGCCATTTTAATTAGGCCGGTAGAGCCTGATCCTGCTTTTTTAAAGTTAAAGTTTAAATTTTGAATAAAGGTAGGTAATTCTTTATAATGTCTATCATCTCAACATGAGGGCCTCTAGTATGAAGGGATCATAAAGATTTGGTATCATGAGAGTGCTGTTTAATGTCATTCTGTGAGCAAATAGATTTAACAATGTTAATTTGCCTTAGTGTGAAGAGCTTTTAGAGACCTCTGTGTGTGTGTGTGGGGGGGGGGGTGTCTTTACCATTCTTCTTTTTTTTTTTTTTCTTTATTGATTTTTTTCCCCCGTCTTTTGGTATGTGCCCCTAGCGGGAACCGAACCCGGGACTCTCTGGTCCACAGGCCGACACTCCAACCACTGAGCCAAACCGGCCAGGGCTTTACCATTCTTTAGTCACCTGGTGCCAGTCCCTTTAAGGTAGTCATAAGAAAAGCTAATTACTTTTATATCATGTTAGGTTTTAGGGGTTTTGCAAAGTTGCTTTCTCAGTAGCTACTAAGTCATTGAGAGCATTACTTCCAGGAAACAAGAGAGAAAAAAAATGGTTAAGTGCACTGCATTAGGTCTTCAACAGATACTTGTCAGTTGATTACCTCTGTCTCCTTATTACTTGATACTGATTTCTTCCACTAGGGAGTGAAAAAACAACAAACAAAGTAACTTGGGCCCTGGCCAGTGTGGCTCAGTTGGTTGAAGCATCATCCCATAGACGGAAAGGTTGCAGGCCCAGTTCCTGATCAGGGCACATAGCTAGGTTGCGGGTTTGGTCCCAGGTCGGGGCACGTACAGAAGGCAACCAATCAATGTTTTTTTCTCTCTCTCTCTTCCCCTCTCTCAGATCAGTAAGCATATCCTCGGGTGGGGATTAAGAAAAAATAATTTTAAAAATTAAAAAATAAAACTTGGAAATCCAGTTGCTTCTTTTTTCTTCCTCCCTCTCTCCCTTTCATTCTTTCCCTCCTTTCTCCCACCTCCTGACACAAGCTGCCCCTCAGCTGCCAGAACTGTGGGCTCCTAGGAGCAGATGTGAAGGCATCATCACACCCTTATTACCGTTGCAGTTGGAAATACAAGTCTGGGGTTACAGGCAGGAGTCAGGATAAATCTACAAGTGTGGAGTCAGTAATCTGTAGATGATGACTAAGGCTGTCCGAGAGTGTGTGGTGAAGAGAAGAGTCTACTTGTTTAGTCTTAGGGTACCCCAACATTTAGGAATTAAGAAGAGGCAGAGATCCTACAAAGGAAACCAAGAAAGAAAGAGAGAAAAGAGTATTTCATGAAGGTCAACTATATTAAATGGTCATGAGCAGTCAGGTTAGAAGAGAGGATGAAGAATTAACCACTGGATTTAACATTGTGGATGGAGGTGGTCATTGGTGTTAGTGGAGTGATGGAAACCAAAATCTGATTTGAGAGAGTTCAAGTGAGAGTGGAACTAAGTAGTAGTCACAATTGTATCAGGTATGACTCTTGAGTTGTCTTGCTGCTGAGGGGAGCAGAGCAAATGAGAAGTAGCAGGAAGGAGATATGAGGTCAAGGGAGGTTTGGGGGAGGGTATTTATTTATTTAATAAAGTTTATCCTTTGTAAAAAAATTTTAAAATGGAAGAAGAAGAAGGTAGAGTATATGTGCACAGATGCTGCTAGCTTGGTAGACTTGATGGTGGGAGGGTGAAGTCCTCTATTGATTGCTTCTGTTTTATATAAGATATAATAAGATATAAAATCAGGAGCTGAACCCTGGCCAGTTTGGCTCAGGGGTTGGAGCTTCAGCCCGCAGACCAGAGAGTCCCAGGTTCAGTTCCCTCTAAGGGCACGTACCTCGGTTGCAGTTTGTCCCCAGCCCCAGTTGGGGTCGTGTGGGTGGCAGCCAGTCAGTGTGTGTCTCTCACATCGATGTTTCTCTCTCTCTGTTCCTTCCTCTCTCCCTCCCTATCTGAAGATAAATGCAAAAAAAAAAAAAAAAAATCAGAAGCTGAGAGAGGAGAAGGGGAAAGCACATATTATAAGTTTGAGAAGCAATGAGAAGGTGTGAAATAATCAGTTTGGAGGTTTATATTGCCTTGGATTTCAGATCTTTTTAGACTCTGAGGTAACAGTGTAATCTCAGGAATACCAAGTGTTCATGTGGATGTTCCACTGGAAGAAACCACAGAGTAGGAATAATTCAGGCTGAAACGCTTTAAGTATAGCCATGTTACCTTCTCATTTACTCAGGGAATACATAAAGTCATTTGATAAATACCAATTAAAGATTTTTTTTTAATAGCTAATATCTTTACCTGGTTCATAATGTAAAAAAGAATAAACGTGCCAACAGTGAAGAATCTTCTTCCCTTGGCCCCTTACCATCTAATTCCTTTCCCTAGAGTCTCTCAGTAGTGACACTTTCTTATGCCTCCTTCCAGAGATACTTCATTGATGCATTTTTTTAAAAACTAAATATATGCTAGCACTTATAAAATAACACTTACTGTAATTAAATAAATCACTTTTAAATGTTACCAAAATTTTGTATTCCTTTTAATTTATATAAAACTAATTTCTAAAAAGAGGAAGAAAGTGCGTGTTTTAATACTGGTTTCATAATGATGGCAACCATCTGGCAGGAGTTGTATCTGTTAGGTTTTCCATAAGAAATACTATGTATATTTAACAAGGTTCTTTTTTCTTCTTTGTCTTCACAGCTGATCTAGCATCTTTAATGGATAAAACATATGAGAGAAAGTTGCCTGTTAGTTCTTTAACAATATCACGGGTAAGAAAACTTAAATATATATTTTTCAAATAAGGAGGAAGAAGAAAGTAAAGAAAGGTTCTTTATATAGACAAGGTTGTGTAAATAAAGAATATCTTCCACTGGAAATATTTTTTCAGAGTATAGTATGTTTTTGTAGTTACTAATAGATATTTCATGGTGAAGTAGCAAATTTCTTTGAAATAAAAGCTAATAAATTTATCATCTCTGATGTCAGTGATCATTATTATGCATCTGATTTTAATTTTTTCCAGGATGTGGTATTCTGTTATATAATATCATGATTTTTTAAGTTGGTACACTCAACTCTTCAGTGGAATAGTATTTACTTTTTATTTTATTTATTTATTTATTTCTTTATTTCTTTTTTATCCTCACCCGAGGACATTTTTCCATTTTTTGTACAGATAGAGTGGGAGGGAGAGAGAGGAAGGGAGAGAGAGAGAGAGAAACATCGACGGGAAGGGACACATTGAGTGGCTGCCACCCGCACGACCAACCAGGGCCGGGGACAAACTGCAACCGAAGTACGTGCCCTTAGTGGGAACCAAACCCGGGTCTCTCCGGACCGCAGGGCGACGCTCCAACCGCTGAGCCAAACCGGCCAGGGCAGTATTTACTTTTTAGTATTGGAAGTATTTTTGGTAGTTGAGAAAATCTGTAAAAAAATGTATATTGCCCTGGCTGGTTTGGCTCAGTGGTTAATGCATCGGCCCATGGACCCAACGGTCACAGGTTCTATTCCTGGTCAAGGGCATGTACCTGGATTGAAGGTTCGATCCCCAGCCCCTGTTGAGGTGGTGTAGGAGGCAGCCAATCAATGTGTCTCTCTCACATCCATGTTTCTTTCTCTCTCTCTCTCTCCCCCTCCCTCCCTCTCCTCTCTGCTTCCTTCCCTTCTACTCTCTAAACATCAATGAAGAAATATCCTCAGGTGAGGATTAACAACAACAGAAAAAGAACGTATATTAATGTTCGTGTTAAACTGCTGCAGAGCAATGGAAGAGAGAATAATATTAGGCTAGGAATCAGGAATGGGAGTTGATAAGAACCATTACTGAACACCTTCTATGCAGTCTGTTGTACTAGTTTCTTGACATACATTCTCTCGTATGTTAATTCTTACAGTGGCCATAGGAGGTAAGCATTATTAACTTCATTTTACATGCAAGACTAAAAATAGTTGATAAATTTCCCGAGTTCACACAGGTTATAAATGGAAATTTTAAACTTCAAACCCAGTGCTCTGTGACATCAAAAGTTCTTTTCCCTCAAATAATATCTGATCTCATCTTTATCGTGAATTAACTTTGTGACATTGGGTGATTGGGCCCCTCTCATTTTCCTTATTTCCAATATGAGGACAACAGTATCTTCTTCGCAGAGCTGATGTGATGCTAAAATGAGATCTTAGTTGTGAAAGCTATTTGTAGAAATTATTAGCACTGTAAAATTTCAAGGTTATTGCTAAATCTAGAAGAGGAAAAGGAAAGAAACCATCACTCATTTTAATCTGGGTTCTTTCTTTCTGTTTCTTGATATTCTCCTTTAGATATGGGAAGAGTTTACCCAGGTCGTAACGTAAATTTTATAGCCTCATAATGTTCAGATTGAAGGGGAACAGAAAGGCTATTGGTTCATCCCTTGCATAATGGATAAAATCTCAATTGTCATAGTACCTGATATTTGTTTAGGCAGCACCACAGAATTTAAAAAGCTTTCACATACATTTTCTCATTGGAGCTGCAAACCCTTCGAGGCAGGTGCCTTTATTCTGTTTATGCAGATGGAGCATCGAAGTTCCAGAGGCACTATGCCATCTGTTTATGAAACACAGCAAGCCATCAGGAGAGCTAGTTCTCAACTGCAGGTCCTGTGTTTGCACCAGATTTTATCCGCCCCTTAATGAGATTCCTAAATCAAATTCCTAAGTCTGAGGCATTTTTAGAAAGTCTCCCTCTTTTTACTCTTCTTCCTCTTTATGAGGTTTAAATTATATACACATCTTCTACTCTATCCTTTTTGCTCTGAGTCTCTACTTTAGGGTAGAATCTAGCCTTGGAATAACCCTTTCTGTTTGCTTATTTAGGTTAGAATTAAGAAGCACACTCACAGATTTTATGGTTCAAAAGACGACTTTGTGGGTTGACTGGTCCATAGCAGAACTTATGTCAGAGTAAGAGAAATTGTTCTAAGACTGAGTTCTCTAAATTTAGATTTTTATCTTTCGAGCCAAATTTTTTTAGCCATTAGAATTTTCCACCTTTCAGATACAAGTTCCCATATAGTTGGAGCACAGAACATAGAGAAAATATCAGGGTTTACGGATATCCCTCGGGATAAAGGGAAATATCAATGACTAGTTTTAAATTAGTAGAGTTTAAAGAGGAGCTCTCTCTTGTTCTGAGCAAGGTCTTTGTTTGATTTCCAGTGTTTATGACCAAGGTTGTCCTATACAAAGAAAAAGAGAAGCCCTGGCCGGTTTGGCTCAGCGGTTAGAGAGTCGGCCTGTGGTCCAGAGAGACCTGGGTTCAGTTCCCGCTAAGGGCATGTGCCTCAGTTGCGGTTTGTCTTCAGCCCTGGTTGTTTGTGCATGTGGCAGCCACTCGATGTGTCCCTTTCACGTCAATGTTTCTCTTCCTCTCTCTTCCTCTCTCTCCCTCCCACTCTACCTGAACAAAAAATGGAAAAATGTCCTCAGGTGAGGATAAAAAGAAAAAGAGAAACCATTGTGTATATTTTATTTGCATTAACACAAAAGAATTTTTAAACTGGAGTCATACCACATGAACATTGTTCCAATAAAATGGGTGTTTTGTCTTTTTTAAGGTCAGTGTGTGAATTAGGCCCAATATATGGCATAAATCAACCAAAGGTTTCTTTTTTTTGTCTTTTAGTTTGTGGACAACATTTCATCTCGAGAAGAGATAGATCATGCAGAGTATTACCTTTACAAGTAAGTTTTCCATTTCATTGGGCTATATACTCTCCTAATTTACATCTCTTTTTTAACACAAAGGGTGGTATGTATTATATATAATGTTCAAAACTTTGCTTTTTAAGTTTATGTTTTGGAGATCTTTCCCTATCAGTATATAAAGAGTTTCCTCATTTTTTATATTTACATGATGTCCCATACTATGAATATATTGTTTAAACCAGTTCCCTGTTGATGAATCTTTAGGATGTGTTCTCTCTCTCTTTTTGTGTTGTATAATGTAACAATAAATTACCATATACATATGTAATTTTGTACATAATTCTTATAAGTATTTACGTTTGTAATTTCAATAGCTGTTTCCTAATTGCTTTCTTTTGAGATTTTATCAGTTTGCGTTCTCAACAGCAATGTTATGAGAGACGCCTGTTTTTATAGCTTGGACAATGAGGGTATTTTCACACTTTGGGAATTTTTTTTTGTTAATCTGATAGATGCAAAGTTATATATTTCTCGCTTCTCTTTTTTTATTCATAGGAAAATATACTCTATATGCACAGTTTGGCACCTGTTATTAATTAGTACTATATTTTAAAGCTTTTTCTCTGTTACCACAGTTACTTCATTCTTTCTCTTGGCTGTGAGCAGCCCCACGCAGACTGTATTCAGATGCACTCACACATGTACAAAGAAGCATGTTCAGTGCAGCACCATCCACAGCAGCAAAAGGCTGGATAACGTAAAGCTCGTTACATGAGTGACTGGCTGAATCAGTCATGATTTATTCTTATTGTTGGTATTCCGCCTGTCAGAATAGTACCTTACAACTAACTTCCTATTGTTTCCTTATTGTGATTTTTAAAATCTAATTTATGATTTGTTCCAATTCCCAGGTTTCAAAAATGGCCTCAGATTTTAATTTAAAGTGTTTCCAGTAAGCTTTGCATTAGAATTTCCCACTTGATCTTACTTTGTTTTGATCAAGAAAGTTTCCATTATTTCCATCTGGGTGCATTTTTATTTTTATTTTTTTTCTTTTATTGATATGAGAGAGAGGGAGGGGGAAGGAGAGAGAGATAGAAACATTGATGAGAAAGAACATCAATTGGCTGCTTCCTACATGCTCCCCACTGGGGATCAGCCCCACAACCTGGTCATGTGCCCTGACTGGGAATCAAACTGGTGACCTCTTGATGCATGGGTCGACACTCAACCACTGAGCCACACCAGCCGGGCTGTGCATTTTAAAAAGCTTCCTTTATAGTAATGAAAATTTATTCAATTTTAATTACTTTTCAAAACAGCTTCTTTTATTCTTTCTGCATTGGATGCATTCTACCACCTTTTTGGTGTTTTCAGTTTAAATATAAAGCTCAAGTCATTTAGATTCCACACTGTAAAAAAACTTATTTTAAATCTAAGATTGCCTTTAACAATGTCCTAAGTTTAAATCCTAGGTCCTGAAATCATCATTGCAAGTGCCCTCCTATCCTTCATTAAGATAAACTGAAATGGATCCTTTGATGAGAGCAAGCCCTGTCATCCTTTAGTGGTTCTTTGGCCTGGTGGGGCTCCTGTGATCATTTTTTTGCCTGTGGTGAAAGGTGTATTTGGGCTGGCATCTGCCCAGTTCTCATCCTTTTGCTTTGTTTATGGCAAAATGCAGAAAATAGTTCCAACTTCCAAATAGAACCTATTTTTTAGAATTTCATTCCATAGAACACAGTACCATAGTCTTGGACGAAATATGTAGCAAATTTTCTTCTATCCCAAAGTACCTCTGTAACATATACTTTATTTCAGTGACTCAACATTCAACAAGTGTTTACTCAACACCTAGTAGGTGCCCAGCCTCTGTCCAAAGTGCTGGACATACAGTGGTGAATAAGTGTGACCTTGTTACTGTCCCTGTACATTAAAGTTTGAGAAATTTAAGTCCTACCTTTAAGATCTCCCATGATTAAATCTTCACATGATGTCCAGTTTTATATGGCCTGGAGTCTCATTGAAAGTTCTATAAAATCTCTCTTTCCTATTTTCATATAGATCATCAGAAGACTTTTGTTCATCTTAAATCTGAGTCACTATTTAATTTGTCATCCTATCCTTTGCTTAGTTAAAACAATGTCCTAACTGTGATATCACTTTCTTATTTCTATTCTTTCTCCTCCCTCCCATTACTAAGAAAATTAACTCTCTTTTTCTCAGCTTTTTTTTTTTTAAAGAAACATTTTTATGACTTTTCAACTCCATAAAGCTGCATCCAAATGTGGATAACAGAGGTTGGCTCGGTTCACTGTAGCTTAGTGTCTCCCTCCTGCTTTCTAGCCTTAGAGAATATACAAAGCATAGTAATGCCTCAGCAAAATGAAAAGTTACAGTTGTGAACTCTTGGAGTTTATTCCCATTAATTGAAATCAGGAGTGTTAATCCTGAAGACACCAAGGGTCAGTGCTATTTCCACCTGTTAGGTCTTCAGCATGCAGTGCTTGCGATGCCAACATCCTCACAGGGGATGACTTTACACATCTCAGAGTCAACTTGCAAGCACAGGTCCAGGATGAGGAAATAGAGAAGCACTTTCTTAATCCTACAGCTAACAGCTTTTTGCTGATCTGCCTTGAGGATTTCCCATTCCCTAGGTAGTACCATCTTGAAGGGAAGGCCCACAGCAGGACTTTTGGCTGCCCCCTCTCTCATTAGCTTAACTCTTTCCCTGCCTCAACCTGTAGAGACCAGGCACCGCACACAGGGTATATCTGCTATATCGTCTCATCTTCCAGTGATCAAATCTCCCCAACGATTATGTAAAGAGCGTTGGAGCTAAAGAGAACTGGGAACCGAGGGGTCCACAGAGAGCTGATTGAGCCTGTGCCATGTGTCAGGTGCACAGGTAAGCAGTTCCAAGCTCCAGCAGTTCAGGAAGCTGCTGGCACATGCCAGCTTGTTACCCAGTCATCCAGGACAGACTCCCAGCCTTTGAATCTCCTGAAGTACACAGGTTTCCAGGTTTAGGGGCTTCGACATGTCAGAGTCCCAGGGATCTTCTAAGGAGAGTTAGAAAGGCAGCTCTTTAGCAGCAGGAGGGAGAACAAATATCTAGCCAGCCCTATTTGGGCTGTGTGCTATTCTCTGGGGTGGGGTGGGGGCGCACAACTCTGACCATCTTCTGTCCTGCCACTTATAAATAAAGCATGGAAACACCAAGAAAAGGAAAATGGCCCTTTAAACAAAAGAATAATGTGAACTAAAGATGGTTAAGGCAATTAATACCAGAAACTATATAGGTTGACCATTTAAAAAAAGCAAGAAAATAAACCAAGAGTTAAAATGATTAAAACAGTAAAAAGGCTATATTGAAGTAAAATTAACAAAATTTGAAAGCTAAGAAAAGGCATGCTAAGAACTGTTGGACTATAACAAAATTTTAAAAACATGATTAAAATAAGAGAATAAAAATGAATTAATTAATTTTTAAAAAATGAGAAAAGGAGACCATCCAGGAACTTCATAAAATATGTATAAATTGGCTAAGAGGGTGGGAAAATAGAAAGGCATGTTTCTGCATAAATAAATAAAACAGTAAGGAAACTGAGGCAGAAGGGGTTCCATGGAGACCAGAGTATAGAGCATGGTAAAGCAGGAGAAAATTAAAATTGCGATGAGAGGAAATCCCATATATTTCCTGTTGTGTGTTTACTAAGAACCATAATCTTAGCTTTTTCTCCGCAAAATAATCTACTTTTGGGATCTGTCAGCTTAAAGTCAATGTTATTTTACAGTGAGCTTATCTAGTGTTTTTCTTTATCATTTTGTGGTGAGCATCACTTTCCTGGGCCACCTAGTCAGTAGTTCTGTGCTCAGCACCTACCAAGTCCGTGTGTGCTGCCCACCAGCAGACAAGTAAGCCCCGAGGCAGGCTCTGTGTCTCCCTTTTCAGGAGATAAACTGCATGTCATGGAGAAAATTGTAGCATCAGTAAAAGCCATTATGTTCACTGTTATAACAAGCTTTAGCAGATCCTGTAAGAGTATTTGATGATTGCATTAACAGAATGCAAACTCAAGCCATAAAAATTCCTTCTTTTCTTGTGATAACCTCCTCTTCACTGAGAATGTTTGCAAATTACATTTTTAAAGGCTTATTTAGACTTTCAAATCATTTTGGGACTGTGGCAGTTTAGAGATGCATGAAATTAAATGTGTTCCTCTTACTATTAGAGCATCAATAATCAGAACCTATAATTTAGTCCGCATTCCCGAAGGATAATGGTCATTCCTGAAGGATAAGTGATAAAAATCTCTGACATATAAAACATTCTCTTTTAAGAATGTAACTTTTTTTTTTTAAGTAGCCTTTTGGTTTGTAGCTGAATTAATTGTTATACAGTAAGCAAAGATTGTTGCCGCGCTCCATGGGAAGGTCTGTTTTTCTCAGAATACAACTCTGTGTTGTCATGGAGAGTGTGGCATACCACCCATTAATGAGAGGAAGTCAAGGTTGTGTTGTAGGCTGTGTGCTGCCAGTGCATTCATCCACACTGTACCTTGGCCTCAAGCATCTTTCATCAGTTGCTTAACTGACCTGGCAGATACAAGGCGTCCCTGGTTGGAGACGGATGGCAGGTCAGGAACAGCTGGGGTGAGGCAGATGGCAGCCTGCGTGTCTCCAGGTCCTGGTTGGCAGCCAGCCTAAAAAGGAAGGACCAAAATAGCTTTATTTTTCAACAAGCAAAAATATTCTGATGCTTAGAGGTGAGCGTACCATCCCGGGCCTATGTTGTAAGGATCCATGTCTGCTGGCTGTAGAAGGAGGGGACGAAGGAACAACATGAGTTTAAGCAGTAAACTTAAACTTTCCTTTGAGAGCATAGACATTGTTTGTGTGTTACAGCAATAAGAGGAAATTAAAATTCTTTCTATAAGCATATTGCCAGGTCTCATTGTATTTGAACACTATTAAGAAAAGAATAAGCCCTGGCCGGTTTGGTTCAGCGGTTAGAGCGTCGGCCTGCGGTC